TATTCGTTAACTTTTAATATCTCAAAAACACTGTTGTTGTCGCGACAATTGAAAGAAAAATTGATTTTAAATCGACCAAAGAATCTGTTGCTGAAAATTTAACGCGATAGGAGAAGACTATAAAGCGTAAGACTGTAAGTCGTTTATGATTAAGTTAGCGATTCAAAGAGGCAAGGACTCGTACGGTCAGTATGTCGAAAGAGTGCAGTCCATGAAGCAGCTCTCGCAGCTAAGTGACATCCTTGGCAAAGGGCCACAACAGCCCTGTCGTCGATGCGAAGTCGGCGAATTCTATTTCTAGTCTACGGCCGATAAACTTGCCGCGATGGGCCACATAAAAAGATGTCTTACGACTAGGTGGTCCCCGTTTACGTTGCTACTTTCGTATTTCTTCATCGTTTTCACTCTCGAATTTCCCTTCAAAATCGATGCATTCAAAGCGATCCTCGTCTCGCAAGGACGTTCACGGGATTATCGCGAGGAGTCTCGCTGCGCCGTGGATTTTCCTCGCAATCCCTTTATAGGCGAGAAATACCCCGGTAAGGGCCGAAGGAAAGATACTGTTATTTCAGTTGCAGATAGAATTGCAGTTGCGTGCTCGGAAAAACTATTCGGAGGAATACTCTAGTGTATCTCACTAATGACAACGGCAAGTCTCGATTACATTTGTAATAGCGAGAACGTAATTTGTTCTCACAAAGTACCGGTCTAATTACATTCACGGATATTCAAAAGTGTACGCTTCGTATTTGTCGAAGTATACGTGCGCGAATGATAATGCGACCGATAATGAGAAAGACACGACGCTCAAAGTGAAATAAAGCGGATTGCTGCTTCTGGAGTTTTTTTTTAACGAGCCTTATTAAAACTCCACTTCGTATATTATCTCGTGCTTTTTTGTTTACAAAATTCACGAATATAAATTACGAAACCGAAAAAAAAGAAGTCTAACGACGGGAGTTAGTTTTATTCGTTTTCATCGCGTAAGAAGTGAAAATCAACATGATAAGATAATATCCTGAAACTTGAAAGTTCAAATATCATTTCGATGAAATGCATCAGCGAACTTATGGTCCTCTGCAGCTTCATCGCGTTGTGTAGGTAAAAAAAATGCGAGTGATCAATCTCGCTTACATGACAACGAACAATGCTTCTCCGTTAGTTGCGGATGAAGCACGGGGAACAGTATTTAATCACGATTAAAATGCTGCTCGTGCCGCTTCAAGTCGTGTTTCCGAGCAACGGTTTCTCTCGGTCGTCGTAAAACCTTTACCCGAATCATTCGGCGGCCATCCAGCCGCACCTGGCGCTCTCGTTTTACACTGATCGTGAAAATAAAAAATAGGGTTGTAAAATTAGAGAAAATGCGAATTACTGTTATAAAATTGTGCTGTATGCACGTAGAGATATATTACCGCGTCGGCAGTCATGTTTGCGTAAAATTTAGTAGGGGACGATCGAGGGGGAAACCGCTGAGACGAAAATCCTGTACACCAATGCCCAAAAAATGCCTAGTAATGCCTAGTAATGCCCGGTAATGCCGCAAATCTGTACACCACAATGCCCTCGGCGGTTTTCCCCTCGGGGACGATATTAAAAATAAATTTTCCTTAATTAAAAAGTATTAACAACGCACGATAAACGAGGAATTTCTTAAGTAGCATGAAATCAAAACTACACGGGTAGCATTTCGATATAATGAATACCATGTCGTATCTCGCTAGCATCGACTAAGAGAGCCTAGTCACGCAATATTCAAGATGATCGCATTCCAAACGCGCCTCGTAATATTAATTAGTTTCATCGCGCGCTACGCTAGAATCGCCTCTGTGGGAGAACCAGACACGTGGACAATCGACGTGAAAGAGAAACGCGACGGCGAGTAATAATTAATCCGTTTGGGTATCTTTAATCGCGAAAACGACCTAGCGAAAGCAATCGATAAATCGCGTCTGCCGTTAGAAAGCGCATCATATTCCTACTTGATTATTAATACGATAAGATGTTCTATTACGTTCGCCTTTCCACGTGGCAACAATTGCGAGGATAAACGGGATTTATTAACAAATTTTTATTCTACATATATAATATATATTGCGCGTGCGATTCTCTATAGAGTTATTTCATTGTTACAAACGTTTTTTTATTCAATGCCATTTCCCGTTGCGGTGCACCGTGCCCTTCTGGACAATAAAAAATATCGCTGGAATAACAAAGCTTATAACGACGGTATAACAAAGCTTATTTAATTAGGACAAAAAATTGAACTGCTTTCGCAGCGATCGGTTACTCGGTGCTAACAGTCGCATGTTTCTCCGACGTCTGTTCGTAGTCGTCGAGGTAAGAGAGTCCTGGAGATGTGGGGGTTTGACTCTAGGAGTAATTCAATATGACATAGTCCGTAGCCGCAACACACAATATGACGAAGGAAGTCAGTCACGCAACGCGCAAAGTGACGGTTGTTCCAGGTACAAAATGGCGTTGATTAACCTTATACCGCGCGCACCACGTGCGCGTTCCGTTCCGTATTTTCAATTTCAACTTCATTAAACTCGATTGTCCTTCGCAGAATGCTCAGGTACGTAACGCGGTGGAATACGAGGGCACACCGGCCGGCGCGGCGGCGCCTGTGGCATGCAAAGCAGCCCGACGCTCGGCACGATTGACATTTCTGCCGGATTCTGGTGCGCCGTAACGCCCAGGACTTGAGATGCACTTGAAAATGGTCGCGCGTATTAATATCTCGATATCGCGCCCCCCCCACCTCCGACCCTAAGCTCGAGATATTCCGAAATAATCCGTAAACGCGGTCGTATCAGTCCTTGCGGAAACAATGTGAATTGATTCTCGTGAAAGACGCGATACTTAGACGATTCCGCGGAATACGCGAGAAATTTCCGCGTGATACAAAAATATGTTTGCCCCGTTAAAAATAGACTTCGCCGAAAGAATTTTGCATCGGGCTCGTGTACCCGTGAGTCATTATTTCTCGCGTTCGTAGCTCGCGGCCGTCCTGAAAGCGCCTTTCTATCCAGGACGTTACCATTCATTCTCGTCTGGTTTTAATTAATCTTTCTATCGCCATCTCTTTCAATTAGGATCTATAAGAATTTCTTTTCGTTAGCGAGCTTTATATCACGGGCAGGAAGATTGGAAAAGGCAAAAAAATACATAATTTTTCAACATGCAAGGGGAAAATTTAGGAGCCTAAGGGATACCTTAAGATCACAATCTGTCTTTATTCGAACTTTATCTATCCGTAATCTACGCGATTTCTCGCATTATTGACCAACGATGCCCGAGAGTCCTACTAGAAAGCGTTTCTACATAGAACGTCAATTGCAAAGCTTCGCATAACTGCTTGAATGAGTCACATTCGATATAAATTCTCAGAATGACTGCGACGTCGGCGTCGCCGTCGGTTGGGGCTGCGACGTCGCCAGTCGACGCACAGCGCTCCGGTTTGTCAACAGGAAATAAAGCCGATCGTTCCCGCCCTCCGAGGGAGGGTTGAAAGATGCGCGACGGTCTCTGGCCACCTTCGGCTGATGTCTGATAATTTGCGTCGTTTTCGACGAAGCACGTAGGCACGACGACGACCCGCGCCGTCTCGAAAAGCGTCTCACGGCTCACAGTTGCGTGGCAGACGGCCTTAATGGCCGCGGCACGAGAATATTTTATGGTGTGCACTTTCAGACTGTCGCCGGATTTAGGACGAAGGTCATCGCGCGGACGCTCTTCGAGCGGATCTGGCGATTTCGCCATCCGCGCCGTCCGTTGCCGTGACGCTCGATCCCCGTCGATCGTGAATCTCTGACAAGTGTCCAGATTTGATCGCCGAGTTTACATTGTGTCGCCAAAGGCGAGGAATAAGTTTTCGCACAATAAATTTGTCGTTCGCATTCAATAGGCTGCAAATGAGAGAAGTGATATTTTTTCCTGGAGAGAAACCAAGGGGGTGACCACTAGCTAAAGTGTTGTCCCACCGATAACATGATTTCATTAGATTTCATACGATTTCGTCCGATTACAAACAATTTCATCTAATTGCAAGTAATTTTTTTATATGCACGTTTAAAAATAGCCGACGTTGGTTAAGAGCTGTTAGATATCCTTAAAACACTAGATCTTTTTTATTTTACTAATAAATATTTGCTTGTACAGGTAATTTCAATTAAGATTGCAGTATTCGGTTAGGTAGGAAACATGTTTCCTCACTTCCCGCTTTTCCCACTAGTCTAACCGTGGTCTTGACGAGAAGTAATTTTGTATCTACCGTTTATTGTTCTAAATTTGCGCGCAAAAGGTGTATCAACTCGCTGTCCTAGCAGCAACTACTTCAGTCTTATTATGCAAAAAATAATACGCGCTTATAGCCGTGAAGTATGATATATATTTGGATATCCACTGGAAGAAGTAAATTTTTGGGAAAAATGAAAACATGTTGAGAAAATGTGGAAATTTAATGTTCATTGTCCAACAAGTGAAGAAACATGAAAATGAAGGCAAAACGATTACATGGAAATTTCGTAAGGATTCGATAATTTCGGAGACACTGTCCCACGATTACATCAAGTGGTTATCCCCTTGAAAGAAAGCAAGTAGAAGAATACGTTTCTCATAACAGGCGGCATAGCGCCCTCAGCTATGCACGTATAGGCAGTCATTTGCGTTAATTTGCACCGAGCGCGAGCGATAAATATAAATGCCAGGGCGCTCCCCGGATTATTGTTAACGAGAGAAGCGTCCATCTTGTATAGGCTTACGGCGAATGTGGTTAAATTTAGATACCCCGGGAACATATACCACGTACCTTAATGAGCTATCGAAGTATCTCGGTAGAGACTTAACGAAACTACTGCGCGACCATCACTATTATTAGGAATGAAATACTTAGGGTATCTAATTTCGCGCGCTTCAAGCCCGTCATTGTCTGTCCCGGAATGATACAGTACTTTGCGAAAGGACCGTCCGCTTAAAGATTTTGGTATCTGTTGCAGATCGAAGCTTTTTAGTGGCGAACGCGCATCAGGGACTATGCCACATTATCTATTGCTCGGACGGTTTCTGCCGGCTGACGGGCTTCTCAAGGGCCGAAGTGATGCAGCGACCGGCGGTCTGCGACTTCCTCCATGGACCAATGACATCACCGCACGCGGTTGCGGCCCTGCGAGACGCCCTTGTCGCTGGCGTCGAAAAGCACTTCGAGATCCTTTACTACAGGAAGGACGGTGAGTACTGCTATCTGTTGATTGCTCGCCAATTGATTCTTGTCCGATGACAATTCACGTTGTGCGCCAAATATACGACGGCATGTCGTAGCTACACGGTAATCTAAAGTCTTAAATATTTCATAGAATACCGACAGTGCGGTTCAAAGCAAAAGCATAGCGCAACTAAAACGGAGTAAAGCCAATGTGTGGAAAGTTTTGCGATATACCGTGAACAAAAATAAGATAATGCAGCCTGTTATGTAACATAAGATACGTAGATGTACAGAGATGCAAATTCTCGGGGAGTTTTTCAACTTTTTCAATTGTCAGTCTACGATTTAAATACGTGTAATGCGTACGCTAGTGCGGTTCAAAGCAAAAGCGTAGCGTAACTAAAATAAAACGGAGCAGAGTCAGTGTGTGGAAAGTTTTGCGATACACCGTGAACAAAAATAAGATAATGCAGCCTATTACGTAACATAAGATACGTTAGATATACAGAGATAAAAATTCTCGGGGCGTTTTTCAACTTTTTCAATTGTCAGTCCACGATTTAAATACGTGTTGTGCGTACGATGACAAAGGTCAAAGTGGTATTGTCCTTGCACGTGTCTACACGTATAGTATATAGAAAAATACGGGCGAGAAATGAGCGCCGTTTCAAACTGAAACTTAGTTCCCGAGAACAAAGAAATCGTTTCAGCGAAACGAAGCCACGAATATTCTCAATTTGTTGTCGTCTTAAGGAAACTTTTTAATAACGCAGGAAACATTTTTCCCGTCTACCGAATAACATCGAGCGAGAACGTCCTGCCATTTCCGTCGTAACAGCCGAGATAAACATCTGCACGAAGTGTCGCGCTAACTTTACGGTTATTGCCGGTGGAAATAAATCAATATAACGCGTTGTCGCACGTAAAGATTTATCGGCCGCTAGCAAGAAAGTCGCAAACGTAGTAGGCATCTTTCATCCCGCCATCTTCCGTCCTGAATCCTTCTTCTGAAATAGATATTAGAGATTTATACAGGGACGAGAGGATAAGATTTAATTAAGCGCGAATTGCCGAGTTCGACAAAACGATTTATTTCACGACTGACACACGTTTTTGTCTCCCAAAATGTCGTATCGCTCAATTTCGTGCCCAATTCTCCGGTCACTTCGGAGTATTCGTCTGGAGATTCGTTCCCTCGGAGAAATTAGCGACGAGGCTTTTTTGAGATGCAGGACCGAAGTAACAAGAGTCCCGCTATTTGGAGCAAGAAGATTGAATTTGTTCGCTGACCAGTGGTTACTTCTCGAACTCGATTTTGCCGTAGCGTCTGACCTTAGCCGCGGTGAAATCAATAGTCACCACTGTATAATTTATCATAGTCATAGTGCAGAACCTCCCACCTGGGTGGCTTCATGTAGGTTTAATAGTTGACTTAACTTCCCGCGTATTGAGTAACGCTTTCTTTTAGAAAAAATAACAAATCTACACTTCAGTCTGTAAACCCAATTAACACCGACAGCTTTTCATCGCAAAAAAAAATTTATACGGACATGCGACGATTAGTAAATATAGCGACCATAATCGTATGCAGACACCATACACGTAATCGTCAAGAATTAGCTAACAAAGCGCGTAATCGCCGGTGCTATTCGAGGTACCGGCAGCGCAACGTACACAAATACATCCTCGTACTCCTTTCGTACTCGTCAGCCTCGCGCTGCTGCTTTAACAAAACAAAAAGTCCATCCACTTTCCCCCGCTTCTCTCGTGCATAAGATGGACGGGCACTCTGCCCGGTTGTGAGACGCGTTAATTAAGGGGCTTAATTAAACCTCGCTACGTAAGAGTATCAATGAAGCGAAAAAGCGCAAAGGGCTACTACTGAGAAACCCCGCGGCCACTTTACGCGGTAAAACACCGCGAAATGTTGGCGTTGGGAGATTCATGGATAGTTACGTGCGCCACAGTGATTTCACCCTTTGTTGAAATAACAAACTCGCGCTCTTCTCGGAGCGCCCGCGCATCACATAATGTTGGCGGCCGAAGGAAAGCACGATAGTCTCTTAAGAGTCGCTACAAAGGTAGGCTGAAGCATAACATCGTCGACAACTTTCCAATCGCGGATAATTCGATGTCATTTCGCTTCTCATTATTCGGTGTTTTCGTCACTCACATCGTTCTCTACAGTACATAATAAATGAGTGACTGGCGGAAATCTTATAAGTCGCCAGAAGTAATTAAAAACTTGAGAGGATTACTTGGCCATGTCCGGCAAATTTTTATGTTTAAACTCACAACGTTTCGACCATGGTTCGTGGTCCTTTTCGAGTGATAGTTGTGTCAGTATTTCCGTAAATCAAAAGAACTGATCTTAATTTCACGAACGACAGAACATGACTGAGTTGAAGCATAAAAATTTGCCAGACACGGTAAACCTCTGAAGTTTATAAATAAGAATACGAATTGCGTGTGTCATTGACTTTTTCCTCTCAAGATTCTTTCACGATTGAAGTCATCTGCGTATTGATATTGTTGCTGAATTGTGCTATCGCTTGTTGCATCGACCGTTTTGCATTTGGTTTCGCCGGAGAGAATCGATTTATGAAACATAGAAAGCGCGTGTCTTCGTGAGAATTAACGCAACGGGAGCTTTCTAACGCGCGGCCTTGCACGAGGCTCTAGCTATGTTGGTTCAGTTACATGGAAAATTAATCAATGGACTGTCAAGTTTCGAACTACGATTGCGACGTGCATGGGATAGAGCTACAATTTGCTAATTACGCGAAACTTTCAACAATCGAAAAATAGCGTTGACAATTGCGAAATGTAAGACTTTGGAAAATAAATCGATGTGGTAACTTTAAAAGGAACATAATTTAAAGAGATGTAATCAATTATGATATTAACGAGCCTCTTGTACGTTAACGTACCGCTTGACATGAAACTCTCTTATTACAAACAAGAATGATAAATTTATGAAGGCTCAATTTTTTTGCAATAACAATATAATGGACACGAACGGATAAGTTGCTGCTGCAACGAATCTGTGACGAAAATATAATTGGTAGTTGTCGGCCGACATGCTTTTACATGAATAATGTTGCAACCTTAGGAGAAAAAAAATTATAATCTAAATTGAAAGGACGATTAATGGATTCGGGTTGTGAAAATTGCAGATAAGAATAAGCGTATATCAATTATCCTGTCGCAGACATGATAACGTTCGTTCATTAACGCTAACCCTTTCGCGCTTAATGGAGCGAACTTGTCAGGGATGAAGGGACACACTCCCGACAAATCGATTTTACTTTAGCAAGAGAACGTGCTAATAGACAAGTATCGATTATAGAATTGGCTTATAATTCCTGAAATCTATCGATCTCGTGTATTGCATTTATTACAGCATTCTCGCGTTTAATCGCTCGTAACGCGAACCGTATCTCGAAATTTCTCTTAAGATAAATTTCGCTAGAAAATGACTGAAGATTTTATTACAATTTGTCCCGCGTATTTAAATTACATACTAAAAAAAAGACTAAATCGAATTAAAATAATTTGCATCAAATTTCGTACACAAGCTCGATATTACGTTGTTCCGCACGACTTAATTAAGCTTGTTAATAACGTGAAATTTATCCGCCGATCTCCCTCCGTTCCGCTCACTCTCCGTTCCGTTCGCCTTTCCTCCTCTGCGATGGCCATTTCGCGAACGCCTCCTTCAGAAAAGCTCTCCCACGTAGTTACGCAACGCGGTCGCGAGGACAGTGTTTTGAGACGTCCAAGAATAGCCCCGTGCTCGTATGCTCGTATTCCAACCCCTTCTCTCGTTTCTAAAACACCTGCCCTCTCCTTCCGTTGTACCCCTTTTCACGTGTCCGTTCTTCTCTTTCTCTCTCTCTCTCTCTCTCTCGCACACATGCACGACGTCGTTTAATCAATGACATCACGGAACGGCACACGAACTCACCCCTTCCACGTGCATTTGGACCACCGGTGGCGTCTACCACGTGTGACGTCATGACACCCACCTCTCCCATCTGTCCTCCTCTCCCTCCCACTCTACGCCATCAGCAGTGGCGATGGCTGCAAGCTCGGTACGGGCCACAAAGCTCTCTGTGGCGTCACAGGACAACGACCCGGCGACTGGCGTTCGCGCCATGGCCGGTCGATCGGCTCTTGTCGGACCGAGGCCGCAAACTCACGGCTCGATTTCGAAAGCACCGCCGTAAGCTCGCCGGGGAAAACGGCCGGCAAGCACGGCAAGGCCTGAGATGCGAGCTTGCAGTCTCCGCGGTGGCGGCGAGCCGAGCTTTTGCGTGTGCGTTTGATCGCGAGAGAAGGGGTCTTGGTCGCGGCGCGGTTGGCGAACGAGCTTTTTGGCGCGCTAGCGATACTGTTGATCGAGCTTGCAGCTTTCCGTGCGTCGCGTCGCGTCGGCAGAAAAAATTCGCGCAGTTTCGTTTGCGTAAAATGGTGGACTCGATGCTAGAACAAAGCGGTAATCGAACGTTGCGACGGTGTACCGAATGAAATTGCAGCGGCCGAGTTTTACGATTACGAATTTTAGTTACTGAAAAAGCGAAATCTATTACGTAAGACGCAGATAACAATGGTGAAGTAATCGACCTAGTTGTCATTGTGATACATAATGTGGTACGAGTACATAAGTAATGAATTTTCACAACTTTTTCCCGCGCTGATGTAACTTGCAGTTTTGAGATCGCTAAGAAAACAGTGCTCGAACGCGATAATTCTAGCGAGCTCAATTGTTCTTGAGCCGTAAAAAGCGACGATGAAAGTTTAAGAAATTAAATTAGTATGCAATGTAAAATTGAACATCTGATTATTGCATATGGCGACAACGATATCGGTTACCTAAAGTAAGAACCGCGTGAAGTTTTATTTCTATTGTACAATTCTACTTCACGATGCAAAATTTTGCGGACGGTTGGATTACGTTTTTTCGCGCTCGAAATTTCATCACCATTTCGAAGAAGCACGTTTTACCGAAAGGCGTCGACGTTA